TATATATATATATATATATATATATATATATATAGGTCCAGCTTTGAGTTTCGCCGTTTGTATGGAGCATGCATTTGGGGTGCTTATTTATTTCGTGCTTCAGGGGTTTTGACAATGAACGACTTCTACAACACGTACGTGCGGCAGTACCAACACAACCAATTTCAGTATTGGCTGCTGCTCATGATGGCGAGCGTAATGAAGCGAGTTGTATCCAGCAGGTGCGCTTCCTTACACGAAAAAATGCAATCGTTCGAAGAGTGATGTGTAATATAATGTGTACTAGAGTGCGGAACACATGAATGCTGAATAATGTTCACCTCTTCAGATCGGGGGCCATGCACTCATGAGTATTCTCGGCCGCTGAGGTATAGGGCACTTGTTTGCTGCTACTTGGCGCTTTCGCAGGCCCCACGCTGGATTTATGGTATTGAAGTTCGACTCTGCACAAGCCCTAGGCCTCAATCGGGGGCGCAGTGGCGCCAATGAATTGGATCGGGGGGCAATTGACTCGCTGCAGCGGCAGGTGGCGGCGAGCGTAGAAGGGAAGCTGGACCGTTCGCTGCAGCGGTTCCAGAATTTTCAGTTTGTGCAGAGTCCGCTGATTGCTGCGACTTCCGCGATGCGGCCGAACGTGTCGGTGACAGGGTACTTGGAGCGCACAAAGGCGGGAAACTTTGTAGATCATGGAATATTTGGGGTGGACATGGAGACGGACACCTTAGAGGAACTGAAGGAACGCATGCAGCCAGGCAACCTGCTTGTAGATGTTTCTCTTGTCGATCCGTGGAGTTCCAGGCCGCTATCGGACTGGCCAGATCCGCTGCAGCGCGACGTTCTTGCGTTAACAGCATACACTGCCACGCAGCTGCTTTGTGCAGAGCTGCAGTGGGACCCGTCCCTAGGCAACCTGGGACACGTGGAAGTGGTGTACTCAGGCTTTGCTGACGTCTACGACTCAGCTGGGGGGTCGCAGCAGTCGAAGGCGAAGTTCGACCCGGACGTTCAGGTGCTGCTGCTAAGAGACAATCAGAAGTTCGTTGAAGATGGTCTAGAAGAAGGAAGCAAGGAGAAGATCACGAACCTGATGGCCCAGGAGCCGCTGCAGTGGGGGCAGAAGCGTGTCATTGACGCAGAAAGAATCAAATGGAAAGGCGTTGCCAGACTGCTGCGTGGCGGTCAGCTGTACAGGAAGAGTGCATTTGGGACAGGCCTGCCACCCACGCTTCGGAGGAACGCGGAGGACCTACTTAAACCCAATGTCGTGCTCATTCACATCGTCATTCAGGGGTTGGGAGATATGACTCCAGATACCCTAGGCTTTGATATGACTGCCAGCGAGATGGCGAGCCGGCTTGTTCGAAGGTGCAGAGGAATCTACGATCCTGTCCTCCTCAAGTCGGTCACACCTTTTGTAAAGGTGAGGGAGGAGACAAGCACATGCGTAGTTCACAGCGCATGCACTGTTGATGCATCATCGTGTGAACAACCCCTTGTAAAGCAGAGCGCGTGCATACGGCCTACATGCTTGTTACGTTTTACGAGAGTTCTATTGAATTGATGCTTAACGAATTCTGCGTGCTGAAGTGCTAGATTCTTATCGAATAAATTCTGCGAAGATTACTAGTTTCGTATGACGAACTCGACGAACCGCGGCGTCGGTCCTGTTCCTCGTTTGCGTGTTCAGGAAATGCAGGTCAAGAACGAGCGGCAGTGCGTTGGGGACATGCCCAAGTGGGTGGTCTTGGTATCGACTCTTGGAGTGGCGCTTTTCTTCATTATCCTTATAACGCTGCTACTGTACCACGACAAGATTAAACTTCCCTGGTGGATAATGTGCATTTGCAGCAGCCGAGCCCCTTGGGAAGAGTCGTCAGCAGCCTCCAGCATGTCGAATGGCTTTGGCCCCGAAATTCTTGAGAAGCAAAGCAACTCCACGCGCGATATCATTGCATTTGCCCCTCCTCTGAAAGAAATGACGTCAAGTTTGTCATGAACGCACAAGCAAGTATGAGTGGATGCCGGCTTCTTCGATAAGCTTGGCTTGCCCTGGACCACACTCAGTTGGTGAGCCCATGCTCATACTGTTGTCGTGGACGGCTCATGTACGAACACATCTCATGGTGCACTAGAACAGGTGGGGCTTGTTTTTGCATTCTGCACGTTTTCCTCTTCGCCGCTAGCTGCTGCACTGCACAGGACTAATGCAAAAGTGCTGTTGAACTACGAAGCTTTGTCAAGGCGCCAGTCCCTTTTTGGCAACGACCACGGACAGAAACACCATTAAGGAATTGTCTACCTGCTTCACTGTGAACACGGAGGGGTTTCCTTTATGGTGTTCGCCTGCCAAATGTTTGCGGGCGGCAAGGGAATCCCTTTTTCGTCTGACCGCTCCCTGCAAGAAATGCGTCCTTTTTCAAGCTGCAAACCAATCGTTCAATAGAGTACGTAGACTGAGCTTCCTGCCAATAGTACTACTACATTCGAATCGAGCACCAGCCCTGTCTCCTAAAAGTGTGCTAAAACAGCTACCTCTAAATAACTACTGAACTCAGTTCACAACTTACACGGGAACCTTCTCTGGTGCGTAGGACAAATAGCCGTCCAGCCGGTGTTAACACTGACCACCATAGATGCTGTCAACGGACTAGAAATGCGAGCGACAATTTACAACACAGGAACACACCAGAACCCACGTAAATGAACGCAGAAACCACAGCCAAGCCACTAACTAACAGACCCAAGGAATAACAGAATATATAAACTCTAGGACTAACAAGTCTATACACGATCGTTGGCGCCGAAGCGCCCCAAAAATTTGTTCGAGATGCATTGTAACGCGGCAGACACACGGCAATCTTTAGTAAAAGGCGAAAGATTGGTGCGTGATGTGTCTGCCGCTGCATCATGTCAGCTAATGTGGGGGATGAGCCCCACCCGCTGACGGTTGAAACCGCGAATAGGAGCGTAACGACGTCACCGCATCTCCCCATTCATATCCTGAAATTTGCGATGGGATTTTTTTTTGGAAGGTTCCACCTTTTTCAGTTGAATACAATTATGTTTTGGCTCGCCATCTTCGAGTACAGGGGCCATTTACACCCAACACGCCATGCATTGGAGCAGCCATTCCTGTGCAGCTCCCAACTGCAAACGCAAATTTCTGCTTCATTGCGTCCAGCCAGTGCGTTAACTTTAAGAAAAATGATGAGTATTTTAAAGCTAAACTCCTATTCGATTCTGATCACAAAGATTTGTTGTCCGGGCACCATGGCTTGGAGCGAATGAAGTCTCTTCGTTCTGAAAGTAAGCAACTTCGTCTTGGTTTAGTGGCTCGTTAATAATTAGATTATTTTCAGCAGAGATCACTTGAGTATATACCATCTACTTCCCCTTGCGCAGGAACGATACATGTAAGGCGAGAGTGTAGGCCAGTTGGCGAACAACGCGCCCCCCTTTTTTCCGCTGCCTCCGATCTTTCTCCCTTCGTGTCTTCCAGGAGTTAGTGGCTTTAACTAAGTTTTACATATTTTAGAAATTTTTGCGAGTTTCCAAGCGTTTCCAAGCCGACCTCTTATGACTGAATTCGCCACAAGAAAACAAAGTTGACGGGGGGGTGCCCACCTCGACGAGAGCAAACAGATCTATGAAAGGATGACGAAAGATCACCATTCCAAGATGGGGAGCAACTTAGAAATGAGCATAATGAATGTTAACGTACGTGTGCTCGTCAAGCAGGTGAGCATTGGGGTGCTCACGTAAGAAGAGCAATCGAGAGGGCGCATGAAAGCACTCATGCATCAGGGACGCAGTTGAGATGGCAAGAGCGCATTGCGGAGAGAACAAATTCTGGACTGAATTGTTTATTCGTTGTTGCACTTGATACACGTTTGTACCCAAAGGGCGAATCGCCCTCTGACGAATGAATCCCATTGCCACTCAAGCTAAGCGTTCATTGCTGTTGTCTCGTTACTCTTAATGCTCATCCTCCAAATTATTTTAAAAAGTGCAAGTTTCGACCTGATTAGCTATTTGGTAGTTCCTTATGACGGCCTATCATTTTCTTCCAGCCAGACGAGTTCTTCCTAGTCTGCGTTTCATTCTAGCTCTGCTTGTCAAGAACATTTAGCCTGTCCGTTGTTTCAACGAAAAAAAGGAGAAAAACGCCCGAAGGCTGCGATTTCATCGCACGTAGAGGACGCGTATCATTTACTGCGTTCTCTGTGCTAATTATGAACTTACAAATTGCATGCCGCTCACCCATGCTTCGAGCACGGCATTCTAAGCACTGACACACACAGACGTACACACATACAACATACATACATACATACATACATACATATATACATACATACATACATACATACATACATACATACATACATACATTACATACATTACATACATTACATACATTACATACATATATATACACACACACGCATGCCACTGCTGGGCGAGCACTGCTATCTTCCTGGAACACAATAGCCATTTCTGCCTCCTTTGTATGAGTATGAGTCCTGGGTTCTTCAACTTGTCCTTTGGTATAGAGTATTTTTGAATAAGGCGGAACTCCGATCGTACCTGGACCGAACCATTCAGGCTTCTGACTCGAGCGCCTGCGGAAGTGTAGGCTGCGGAGGGGGAGGAGAGTCAAGTGCCAACACGACGACTTCCCGGACATTTCTTGACAAGGAAGGTTCTGCGAGAATGCGCTGCAACTGCTGCTGAATCAGTTGCTGCCGTTGTTCATCGTATTGCCTCCAAGGTAGAAATATCTTTGCCCCCCGCGAAGCAGCCACGGGGTTGATGCGGTCGGCCTGCAGCGTAGCACGCAATTAAGAGCCTCGCGGAGGACCAAAATACTTTGCTGCAAATGCTCTCCCCGATAGATGGAAGATGCACGAGGAGGTCCCAGAGAGCTGCTTTGTCCACCAAGAGCAAAATTTCCAACCGCCAGCGTACCCTCGATGGCGGTTGCAATCCATGCACGAACTAGGGAGAATTGAGCTGTGTACGCTGTACTTGAATTGTTCACCGCCAATAATTTTGTGTTTGTCTGGGTCGCATAAAATACGAATGGATGCCTACCTGGAGAATGACCCCCGCGAGGAGTTCATAGCCTTTCCCGTCGCTCCTGTGGAAGTGGACATGATTGACAGCAGCAAACGCATACACCAAAGACCGCAGTCTGTTGGGATTCTTCAGAGAGAAGGCAGGATGATGCAGCAAGGCGGCTATGCGTTCCACTTGGTCTGGCAGGTCTGAGAGAGCTTGAGCTTTGAACCACTTGTCAACCACAAGAGAGTCTCCTGCGCAAGAAGAAAGCGACATCGTTCATCAGAAACGCTAGAGTAGAACGCGTGAACATGTGGTTGTGCATGCGCACACTCGGGGACTCAGCTCGCTTCCCAGTCTCAGTTGTAAGTAGGCGGCCAGCGGCGGCTGTGGCGGCCAAGCACGTTGACGGTGCCTGCTGTGCTAAAACCCAGGTGGAAGCAAATCCTGCTTCCTTGTGTGTGAGCTTTGCGTTAAATCGAACCTGCTGCGTCGTCGTAGAAGCGCGAAAAGGCCTTCTCTCGTTGCATAACGGGTATATTACTGAGGGCAATGAGGCCTGCGTATTTATCTGTCATGCATTTTGCCTCTGTGAAGTGCTTATATGCCCTTTCCACCGCCTCTTCATCGCCCATAGCCGAAAGGAAGTGCAGCAAAGTATTCCGTAGCTTCCTTCTGCCGGTTGCCTCCTCCGTCACCTCGTCCTCCTGATCGGTGGGAAGGGTGAGCTGTTTATACAACTCACTCATTTCAGGCTTCAGCGCAGTCGCCAAGTCCGCCTTAACCGTTCTTATGGCTTTGTGCAGCGCTTCTGGATTAACGGGCCTCATCTCCGTAGAAAGACCATTCCAGTCAGGCAGCTGCAGGATGAGTGCCTGGAATATAAAAAGAAAACAAGAAGACACACCTTCCCATGTAAAGCCGTCGAGATATCCACAGTGTGTACAGCCACACTGCCTCAGAAGTCCTTTTACCATGATCCATGCCAGTTCCAGTGGCACCATGTGTGCACACCCGAATTGAGCTTAAAGAGGCATGCATGCTTTGGAGACGCATCTGCTATCCATTCGGCTGTCTGTGCACCACTTCAGGCAGTCAAACGCGCAGACCTATTCCCCTCCTGCTTGCGGTCCAAGAGTCGTCTGACGTAAAGAGCAGCTTTCGTGGATTAAGAGGAACTGTACATCGACTGGTTCTTTGATAAGGATAGAAATTAGGGGGGAACGTGGATATGGATTTACCTTCAGTGCGTTGTCCGTCGCCTGGTCGGTAAGGATTGTCCTCAGTCCCTCGACGTAATCATCGGGAAGTTGTTCGAGCTTCTGTGCATTTCCTTTTGCAGAGATCCGCTTAGAACGGGAAATAACGATTGGTGTTGCCAGGGCCCTGGAAGCGAACCACTTGGTCACTGGATCCGTGTCGTAAGCCAGAAGAAATGCGCTTTCTTTGGCTGTCTGGGGACGGTTTATCAAACGCACTGGAGCGGAGAACCCCCGCAATATTGAAGGTACGCAGTCTTCTCGTACACCTCTGACTCGAAATGTCTGTTCCTCTTCCGTCATCTCTAACACCTGAAGGCAGGAGAGAACGAAAAGGCACCGGCAATGACAAGAGTGACACGGAGGACGAAAAGCCATGGGGACTTTGAAATGAGAAGTTGTGCAGCGAGGCATGATGGACCTATTGGGATAACGGACTGGAGCGGCACCTGCACCGAACGAGGGAGGTAAAAGCACAAGGAAGGACAAAGTCGGTTAAAAATAGACAACAAAGACGTGCAGAAAGGAGCAATGGAGCAAAATCGCAGCACAAAGCAAACGGTTTTGTCAGCTAAAGGTACAACAATAAGATTGCCTTTCACTATTGAATGCTTCTGCAAAGAAACGCATATGGAGAAGGACGGCAATTATTGGGAATGCGCTACTAGCCCAGAGGTACAGGAGACAAAATGGCCAAAGGTGAATGCATGCTTTTTGCTGTGGTGTCCTCATTTCCAAAAGACAGCTCCAAGTATCATCATTGTGCTTTTTTGTGTTTGCTTCTGGCGCAGCTATTAATAAAACATCAATACAGTGATACTGACATATAAAGATTCATATGTTTTATTGGTCTATGCTATACTACCGGCATGACAAATACAAATACATGCCAAGGGCATTGTACGGGGGCGGCATGACTCATTTTTCTCTTGTTACCACTGCGGGTTGCAGCAAATCTTGGTGGGAAGCCCTCCCTATGAGCCCGATCTTGATAGGAATGAGTTGGGGCCGCTTGGTCTCTTGGCCCCGAGTCGGCGGGGTATGCTGCCTAAAGCTTATTTCGAAGGCTTTTTCATCTTCTTTGTACTCAGACCGCAGAACTTCGAGGCGTGGTGTGCCAGCCTGCAGCCAAACAAGGCACTTGATACATGGCTGGGGACCGGAAAAGCGAAGGCTCAGCGGAATGAAGCGTACGTGCTCCTTGTTGAAACAGTTCAACTCGGACAGACAGGGCGTGCACGATGACTCCTTGGGGAAGGACCATAGAAAGGCGAGGTGGGCATTCCGCAGGCAGGACAAAGTGAGCGTATATGGAATGAGACTTCAATAATGTAGCACAGTTCGGGTGCGTCGCCACTCCTCGATAGCGCCAACAAACGAATGCAGGGATTATCATTACTGCATTGCTTGTTCACGCCTGTATGGCTTTTAGTGAAGCGGATGCTACAGTTGGAGATCCATCTAGTTTCCGTCTCATACCCAGTACTCACATAACGTTCAGCTGAATCTCAACAGTTACCTTCCCTTCAACTGACATTCAACACTCATATTCCCTTCAGTCCCCACTCAATACTGCATTGGATATACTTCAATGTTGCTACCTGACTGTACCAACGATCCATTTGGTCCAGGTTTATGCCGTTTGCATCCGCCATGGCGGCCCGAAAGTCGTCGCAGGTGGCTGGCTTATTATCGTGGCGTTTGAAGTACAAATCCATTCCCTTCCGGAACCCAGAGGCACCAAGCAAGGTGTAGTATCTGGACAGCCAGATAAACAGCAGAAGAATGCAATGGCAGTTGAAAATGGGAGAAACACTGAGGTGTATGACTGGAAGTGCTCCTGAAGTGGTGCTGTCGCTTCCACACCGACTGCTTCTACAAATGAAGCGAACTCCCAGTTACCTTCAGTGAGCAGAGGATCTGTTCACTGATGGTAGGCTATTTCGACCTTGGGCAAGTAGATTTCGAGTTAAACACAATTGAAAATGTAAACTGGTCTCACATGCGTACGACCTCTGCGCCCTTGTCATAAACTGTGGCTGTGTAGAAGTTATCCATAGCCAAGTAACTCTCTGGGCGTATGGGATGAGCCATGGGGCCGTCATCTTCTGGGAATTGCCGTGAAATCAAATCTGCAACTTCTTTAATCCGCTGTACTCCGGCAGACATAAAAGTTCCCATGAACAGCTGTTCCCGAAACACCGTTAGGCCTTCCTTTAGTGTCAATTGAAACCAATCCCTAAGCAGGACAAGCAACAAGCCTACGAACATCCGAACAGATGAAGTAATGAGAAGCGTTCAAACAAGACGCACAAAGACTATCACAAACATCCGTACGCCGGCGAGCACACGCTCTGCGCTGCCCGGTGTTTGTTCTGCTGTACGGGTGTTGCAAGCGTTTCACCTTCTGCTTCAAACGAGCTTGGCACAGCCCAGAAAACACATCACTGAATTTGCGCATACAGAACAGAAACGGATAACAAGTTGGGGAGTTACCGGACTGTCACGCGGTTGCCTGTCCAGTTGTGGAAGTATTCATGCCCGACAACTGCAAGGACGCGTTCAAAATCGTCATCTGAAACAGAACATCAACACAGGCTATATAGCCCACGTACTGTATCACAAACCCCAAATGTGAAGCCCAATGAACCACACAAAGATACACCGAGGCGAAATTAGCAAGTGGACGCGTCGCTGTTGCTTGCTGCTTGAAAAGCAGGGAAACCATCAAATCGCTGCGCCGAACCACTAAGAGTTGCATCGTGACACCGAATGCCAGGATATTATCAGATCCAGAAGGCTCCTCTGCTGCGGTGCTGCTGCAGTAGCAACAGAAGCACTTGCAACATCTGCAGCCCAAACAACACTAGTGGAATTGGTGCTAACCTGTGCTGGTTTGCATGCTTGCGAGGAGAAGAGAGCAATTGAAGATATTGAGGCCTTTGTTCTCCATGGCCCCGGCATTGAAGTCAGAGACGCATGCGACGTTAAAGGTATCCAAATCATACTCCCTTCCAAAATGGTCTTCCTCCCATTTCATGCTCACCTTCACGCTGTGCATTGCCCAATTGAGCTTGTGCATCTGTTCCGGCTCGCTGTAAACCGCAAGTGCAACTTCTTTGCCACTCTGCAGCGGAGGTGCCAGAAAAAGCCATATATCCATACACATACACATACACGTACACAGACAGACAGACAGACAGACAGACAGACACACACACACACATACACACACATACACACACACACACACACACACACACACACATACACACACATACTCACAAAATAAGCAACAGAATTAGGAGCGATGTTACACATATGCACAACTGACGAACTCCCAAGTGATGCGCGTGCACGTACGCGCGAAAAAGAGCACACACGCACACACACGCTGGAGTAATCTTAGAAGGTGTGGAAGGTTTGTGGGTCGTGGGTCGAACTTTGGTGGTAAATGTGTCCACTATAGCAGCAAAATCGCCTGCCAAAATTGCAAAAAGATAACTCGGCTTGGGATGAGGGTCTGTGAAAACCACGAAGTGACGGTCGGGAGAATCTTGCACGGGTCCTTCCTCTGTCTTGTTGCCGTTGCTTAGGAGGACAGGATATTTTTCCTTGTTTGCTTCCAGACGAACCTGAAGATTAAGCAACATACTGGAACGAGCACAACCCTCTCCAGATGCCAGGAGTTGAAATGCACCACACCGTTGCCGTTGACTCCAATGCACTCTTATGCTGCACACCTTCAGAAATGAGGTACGGAAAGCGAGTGCGTGCTTACAGTATACTTTGCCAGCACATCAGGCCTGTCCAGGAAATATGTTATTCTCCTGAATCCTTCAGCCTCACACTGCGTCACCAGAGCACTCCCAGAGGCATACAGTCCTCTAAGTTTTAAGTTTGCTTTCGGGTGAATATCCACCTGTGTTTGGAGGGTAAAGGATTCCCCTGCTTCCTTAGGAAGAACAGCTTTACTGATTATCAAACTGCCGTCGCTGCCGAGACGGTAGCCCTCTTCACCGTCAGCCATCGCATTGGGGTTGCCTGAATCGCTTATTTTCTTCCCGTTCAATGTCAAAGAGACGAGGTCCAATTCCTCCCCATTCAAGACCAAGTCTGTAGGGGATGTGCCGATAGTTCGCTGCATAATTATAGTGGCTATCACCTAAAATACACCGCAAACAATTACCACTAATTCTTGATACCTAAGCTGTGGAACCGTAACTCTATCGTAGAGATACTTAACACCAGTAAACATGCAGCAATCGCTGACCTTGGTGTTTGTTTCTTCTAGGAAAAAGTCTAGGTCTACAGAATCAACGGCGAAATCTGATGGCTTGTATTCATCTCTGAATTTCTCCCCCGGTCGGCCCCTTTGTTTGGCTCTAATCGCAGTGAGTTCTGACCCATATGTATTGCCACCTGCATCAGGAGGGTCCGCTGTGGCTGTGAGGTGGGCGTCTTCTTGCTTTGGATGTGCATGCGCGTTTGCCCTTGTCCTCGCATTCGGCTGTTGTGGGCCATTGCCTCGCCGATGTCCATGAGGTGAACGGGCACCTGCATCTGCATGCTGCTCACTCGCATTGGTAGGACGCAAGGAAGCATTGCCCAGCTCCTCTCCCTCCTCTCTTTGTACCTCTGCGGGGGAACTTGCAGCTGCAGCCATTTGGATGTGCGGCAACAGCGAGAATGCTCCAGAGGAAGCTCCTGCTACGTTCGCATATGGGGCAGACATTCCTTGCCATCTTCTCCAAGAATGAGGGGAGGATGGAGTTAGCAGAGAGGTCAACAGGGACGGAGCTGCGGCGTCCAAATAGTAATTGGAGCCGTTTCCAGCTTTAATATCTAGACCAACACAACCTACCAAGGAGGTCAAACAAAGCACAATGAAACCAGGTCCGAGGGCCACATCAGAGGAAAATGAAGGCCCACCGCTGTCACCAGATCAGGCGGTGCTCAGCAAGCTAGGAACAGAACACTGTTTCCTGTGAGGCAGCATTGGACTCGGTCCTTGCGTTGGTCGCGGGAGAAAAAGGGTACATAGACAGCACCCAAATCCCGAAATAAGTATCTCATATTTGCAGTGTTTTGCTCACTGCTGTGCTACTTACTGATTCCTGTTCCTCGGGTTACTTCATGAAGAAGAACAGGCGCTACAAGGAAGCCGAGGTGAGGTGCGGTCAGCCACATTTTCTCGCCGGCAGGGGAGGTGTAGGCCAGAAAGGTCGGGGTAATATCACAAAACAGATAATTAAACACAGATACACATTCCTATTCACATTATAGAGTCTACTGAACCTATAATTGATGCTTTAGTCGTCCACACTCTACCCGTACAGCCCACGGCGGTTCACCAACGGTCACCGTAGCGCAGGCGGCAACCATTCGTGGGTCGGCAACGTGTGTCACATTCCTCTCGGTGGTTTGAAACTTGACAGGGGAAATAGTTAGCACTAAAAACTATATATGCAAAGTTCGGTTGCTAGGCTATATAACTGACATTGTAATAAAGCGTGCAACCATTGGCATCGTCCCGTTGCCTGCAAAAGTACAAGCGCAAATGCCGCTTCCCTCAATCTCTGCCCAAAGACAGAGAGAACATATTTATGGCTAATTGTGATGCGTTTTGGCTGAGATATAGGGAGGCCCCATTTAACCCCCATGTGCATTGTGTCTTCAAACATACACTACTAAGGAGCAAACTACAGCAAATAGACTGGCGAAGTGGTCAAACTACCTGTCACCTCACAGAGGGTATCAGCGTAGCGATGAGTTCGAATCTTACGATTAACGATCAAGGGACTTCCCACAATAGTTTTCCACGCACTCAAATCACCGGATTCAGCTGCTTGCCACCAAATATGTTTCAATAGGAATCCCCACACTTGCGGGTGACTTAAAGGGGCTGTCGACAACTGGCTAAGTCAAGGAGGCATAAGCAAACACCAATCAAGGGAGATCAACCCACAATTACTGTATGACCATTTTGCGTCTCCCGGCTCAGTCTTTGTCGCTACGCTCTTCCCTTTCCGTGGTTGCTGCCACGGAAAGGGAAGAGCGTAGCGACTAAGGGTAGTAAGCTGGCACTGCTACGCATTAGTGCCTGTAGTGTCTCGTACCTTCCTACAAAAGCATTTCACATATAAGCTTGAAGCAATGAAGGCTGAACGGGAGGCAACAACATAAGTAGGTCCCAAATTCCCTCTAGCCACCAGAGTAGGAAATTTGAAAGCGCCTTATCGTCCACCGCCCACTGAAGTACGGCAAAATCGCTGAGACACAACTAACGGCCCACATGCCTCGCCCGCATGCAGCTCCCAATACTCGGTAGTGCTTCGTGACTCTTGAAATGTAAAGGCAGACCAAAAGGTTCAAACAAATTCGTATTCGGATGCAAGAGAAGACAAATACCTCCCTCGAACATCCGTTCATTCGACTGAGAAACTCCCAGCAGATTGGTAGAAGTTTCCGCGATTGAAGGGGTGCGTCGGCAGACCTTAGCTGGCTACGTCTTGCCGCCAGCTCGGCCTTTACCTGGAGATGCGCTCAGGAGCTTGTCGAGTTTCATCGTAAGGAAAAAAGCAACTGCGAGGTGTTTCGCAGGCTCAGCCGACGTAACGAAAGGGTGTGTCAAGTAAAGCTTATATACATTTGACTACATGTGCTATATTTACATATACTAGGTTTTCGGGTTTGGAGCTGATGGGGCAGCAGTCTGCGAGCTGCAGTCCAACCCCTCGATGTCCAGGACTTGGGAAGCTGCAGAAGGAGGAAAAACAGCCAGGGAGAAGAGCACAAGCCGTGAGCTCTTCTCAGACACCAAGAAACCACCAAGTACATACTACACCCTTAACTCTAGACCGTACACCTTAGTCCCTAACTCGGCACCCCACTCGAAACCCAAAGACAAAACCTCTGCTTGCCTGATAGCGTCCGGAGCACCTTCTCTCCCTTCGCAGCCAAAATTGTCTCCACATCGCTCTCCTCCTCCCCAAACCACTTCAGACGATCCGCCACCAAGTGCACTGCACTCAAACAGACATATAATTATATATATATTATATAT